AGTTCTGTAGGTCAAGGGTATCAAGCTAGAATTTATGGTTTCATTTTCATTGTGATTTTAGCATTGCCTTCTGTGTATGCTAAATTCTACTGTTTTGGGTGTTATATGGTGACACAAATGATCCTTTTTAAAAACTGGAGTTTAAAAAGTGCATTGATTTAAAATACTAAGTGAATAATAGTCCAGTTGGTTCTTGGATGTGGCAGGATTGGAGGAAGGGACTGGGCGAGTGCTGCCTTTTCAGAGGCCTCATGGAGTCTTGGGTGTGACCAGCTGGAGGCATGTGGTGGACCAGGCATCTTCATGAAGGCCGCTGTTGATCAGCTTTGGCAGCCAACATGCAAATCACAAGCCAGGTTTGAGAAAGTGGTCTTCATTTCTCTGTGACATTGGCTTTCCTCAGGGACATGGACCTGTGCGAAGATAGGCAGCTGCTCTTTGCTGTCTGTCTCCTTCCAGCCACCAGGAGATGGCCAGACCCCAGCCATGCCTTCATCCTGAGATGAGATAGAAACCTTCCTGCCACTTAGCCTGTCACCAGGGTGGAGGATCAGAATGGCTGGGTGAGCAGGGGAGGGTGACATCTGTCTTTAGCCACTTTAATTGATTGTTTGGTACATGGAGAGAGGAATGAGCAATGGGTTTCTAGAGGGCAAGGTCTTTGGAGGAGGAAAAGCACTGCGGCTTTCAGAAGGCCCCCAGCCTTGAGAAGGTTCCCTGCCGGTATTGGTTTCTCCGGGGAACAGGTGGGGCTAAGGAGGGAAGGAACCACTGTGTCCTGACACCTCATGTGTGCTGAGCATTGCCAGGTAGTCCACGGACACAAACAGCTCAATGCAGTGGGCATTGTCCCCTTTTCCAGATGAGGAAACCAGACCAGAGAGAGTGGGTGACTTGTCTGAGGTCACACAGCCAGGAAGGGGCAGAAACACAATCAGCACAGACAGGCTGAATCCAGCCAGACCTCACGCCATCTGCCCTGAGGAGCGGGACAGCTGGCAGCTGAACTCCAGGAAAGAATCCCCTTCTACCACTTTCAGAGCCTTGCCCACCAGTGCCTGTAAAATGCTGGGGCCATTTTCTCACTTAAGCCACCTCCTGAATCAGGCAGCTTCTCTGCAGAGATATTGAGCTGAGATATTGCTTCCGAAAGTAGATCTGGTACCCGACTGTCATTCTGACTACAGAAACCAGCCAGCCAGCCATGTCCTCTGTCCAGCTCTGGGGGATGGACCGGAATGAAAGCTTACAGTTTCAGAAAGGGGAGAAAAAGATCTAGTGGCTGAGAACTTGTCTGCTGTGCTCTAATGATGTCAGAAGGTTGGAGAACCCGCTGCCCTGGGTTCTATCAGCTACAGCTCTGGGGCGTTTTTCAGCCTGGGGCTCTTGATGCTTTAGGGCGAGCTTGCCCAACCCACAGTGTGGCCTGCAGGCCACATACAGCTCAGGGCAGCTTTGACTGTGGCCCAACACAGATTCATAAACTTACTTAAAACATTATGAGATTTTAGCCTAGCTAACATGGTGAAACCCCATCTCCACTAAAAATACATAAATTAGCCGGGCATGGTGGTGTCCGCCTGTAGTCCCAGCTACTCAGGAGGCTGGGGCAGGAGAATTGCTTGCGCCTGGAATTGCAGTGAGCCAAGATCACGCCACCGCACTCCAGGCTGGGTGACAAAGCAAGTCCCTGTCTCAAAAAAAAGAAGTTACAAGGTTTTGTTTTTTTGTTGTTGTTTGTGTGTGTGTGTGTGTGTTTCTTTTTAGCTTATCAGCTAGCTATCATTAGTGTAATTTATTTGTAGCCCAAGAGAGTTCTTCCATTGTGTCCCAGGGAAGCCAAAAGATTGGATAATCCTGCCTTAGAGAAAAGGGATGGGCCAGGTGCAGTGACTCACACCTATAAACCCAGCACTTTGGGAAGCCAAGGCGCGTGGATCACGAGGCCAGGAGATTGAGATCATCCTGGCTAACATGGTGAAACCCTGTCTTTACTGAAAATACAAAAAGTTAGCTGGGCGTGGTAGCGTATGCCTGTAGTCCCAGCTACTTAGGAGGCTGAGGCCAGAGAATCACTCCAACCCCAAACCCTGGAGGTGGAGATTGCGGTGAGCCAAGATCGCACCACTGTACTCCAGCCTGGGCAGCAGAGCCAGACTCCATCTCAAAAAAAAAAAAAAAAAAAGAGAGAAAAGTGATGAACCTGAGGTGCTGAGAGGAGTTTCAGCTTTGGGGTCAGGCCACAGGGGTTCAAATCCTGGCTCTGCCATGTAGTAGCTGTGTGGCCTTGCACAACTTGCTTAACCTCTCGGAGCTCCACGTGAAATGCAAGGATGAGGGTCCTACTTGGCCCCACCTCCTAACGTTGTTTTTGAGGACTAAGTGAGCTAAGACATGAGTTAGAGCAGCACAAGCTGAACAGGAAGTAAATCCTTCATAAATGTCAGGTGTTGTCACGATTTTCATTCAGAGTTTGCCAAGGCTGCTATCGCAAGACACAGGAGCAAATGGTTAACGTGTAATAGCCAAAGTGGGTGACAGATGAAAATCGAACTGTGTCCCAGGACATCCTCCAGCCCTAGATACAGAAACCTGGGATCATATCCCTGTCCTCAACTCACTGTGACTTTAGGCAGAGGTCACCACCCTGTCTGGGCCCGTTCAGTCTCTGCTGTGGAATGGGTGGGACCAGTTGGATCAAAGTCCTCAGACCTCATACAATACTCTCAGCAGCTTTTGCCGTATCTGCCCGTTACCTGAACTATTAAGAGTTTTCTTTAAATTGGCTCCTTTTAGAGTGAAATATTTTGAAAAGATAAACTTTTTTTTTTTGAGACAATCTCACTCTGTTGCCCAGGCTGGAGTGCAATGGCACAATCTCTACTCACTGCAACCTCTGCCTCCCCCAGCTCAAGTCATTCTCCTGCCTCAGCCTCCCAAGTAGCTGGGAATACAGGCGCCCCCCGCCATGCCCGGCTAATTTTGTATTTTTTTCAGTAGAGATGGCGTTTCGCCATGTTGGCCAGGCTGGTCTCGAGCTCCTGACCTCAAGTGATCTGCCCGCCTTAGCGTCCCGAAGTGCTGGGATTACAGGCGTGGCCACTTTGAAAAGAGAAACTATATTACTACCAGAAATGGAAACCTGACATCACTTGGTATAAATGGAAGGTGACCGTACAGATAAACACAATGAAAACAGAGCAGTGTTAGTCAATGCCACGTGTAGCCCGTTCACAGAAAAACGCAGCTGCAGCCAGACTAGCACCTGGCTGGGACTGTCGGGGATGCTGTTTGTGGTCACAGGATTAGGAGAGGAGTGAGGTCCTTACCGAATGAATCCATCTTCTCTTTTTTTTTTTTTGAAACAGGGTCTCTGTCATCCAGGCTGGGTGCAGGGGCACAGTCATAGTTCACTGCAGCCTTGAACTGCTGGGCTCAAGTGGTCCTCCCACCTCAGCCTTCCAAGTAGCTGAGACTACAGGTGTGCACCACCATGCCTCGCTAATTTTTAATTTTTTTATAGAGACAGAGTCTCACTGTGTTGCCCAGTCAGGTCTCAAACTCCTGGCCTCAAACGATCCTCCCACCTTGGCCTCCCAAAATGCCGGGATTGTAAGCATGAACCGCTCTATCTGGCTGATTCCGTGTTTGCGAACACCCGGTCCACACAAGTCTGAGTTGGGCTCAAGGGTGACGGCAGTCGTTGGCGAGCTCTGCAGTGAGCATCTGTGCAGCTGAATCTGAATAAAAGATTCTGCTCCGGGTTCCTGGCCAGCAGTTATCTCGGGAGCAGCCTGGTGGAGGGCAGCTATGGGGAGACATTAGCTCTGCCTGCACTTCCAGCCTGGGGACCAAGTGGGCTCTGGAGTCAGAGAAGGACCTCAGCAAAGAAGGGCAGGTCGACCTGCCCGGAAGAGCAAGTGGAGGGAATGGGTCGAGGCACCCACGGCCTCTGTTAAGGGCTCCGGAAGTGGTAGTTGCCCTCATTTGCACTGTTCCCATCGTTATTACCAAGCCACTGCCAGCTGTGTCTCTCATAGCAGTGCATCTTTAGCCAGGTCTCTTGGCTTCTCTGAACTTCAGTTTCTTATCCTATGCAATGATAAGAACCTCAGTTTATTATCATATAAGATTCATAGGTCTCAATGGAAACAGTTCTTTGGTCAACCTTGGAAATAGGATAGGAGGGCATTTTTAGTTGTTAGAGTGGCAAGGGCTGCTACCAGCTTTTAGTTGCCTGGAGCCAGGGATGCTGGTAAATATTCAGTGCTCAGAACAGCCACCCCATGTCCAGGAATTGTCCTACCCCAAATGTCAACAGCACCCTGTCAAACAATACATGTCACACGTGTAACATACAAGTTGTGCGAGATGTTCAGTGAAGTTTGCGGAAGGGATAGTCTGAGCTGGCTAAGATGAGGCTCGGAATTGGAGCAGGGCTGGAGGGGCTGCAGAGCGGTTGGGCATGGGCACCCAGCTGGGCACACAGAGAAGGCAGTGGGAAAGGGGGACCTGCCAGGGGGCCAGGCCTGGGAGGAAGAGCCAAGGGGAGCTGCTGAGTAGCTTGGCTGTGGCCAGTGCCTTTCTGCAGGTGGCAAAGCATTTTTGAGCAAGGTCGGAGGTGCTGCCAAGCCCTGCCCACTACCCAGCGCTGGCTCAGCTGGCCCAGAGCTGCAAGTCAGCCCTCAGACCCTGCGTGACTCCTGAGCCGGCTGCGCCAGCATCCCCCTTCCTCTCCCTTGTGAAATTGCTCTGGTTCTCCAGCCCAGGGTCTCTGAGAAATTCGGCAAATTCATTACAAAGAGTTTTAATAAAAATTGCAGAGACATTTCCACCCTGAGTCTGGGGCTCCCAGTGGTTCCCCAAATGTGAGGGATGGAGGAAGACTTCCTGCCCCACTGCAAGTCTCCTGAGCCTGGTGGATTGGTCCCTGTCCCCAGCCAACCTGGTGACAGGGTGGGGCTTCCATGCTAGTAACCCCCTTTCTTTCTTCTTGTTAGGCCTTCTCCCCTCAAAAGCTTCGTGCCAACAGAGAGGTTCCTTTTCAGACCCAGGAGGGTAGAATGCAGATTGGGACTGACTGCTGAGGTTGGGAAGGCCTCTGCTCCCACAGAAGGGGGAAGGCAAGGGGTGTCCCAAGACCTCATCGGCCTGCAGCATCACACCGACGGCCTGGCCTTGGCTTCTGATTATTTGCAACTGCGATGGATGTTTACAGGAACCCAGCCAGAGTTTGCCTCCCTGCACTTCACCCCGGAGCGCACCTGCTTCCCCCACTTCACCTTCAGAGAGGACACTTCAAACTGTGGACACACGCAGAAGCGACTCCCAGCTCCATTTGATGTGAGTTGAGCCTTCAGGCCAGCTGGGTTTAGCCCAAGGCTGGTCTTAGATGCAGACTGTTTCAGGGAGTGACTCAGAAGAAAAAGAAGCCGAGGAAGCTGTCGGGGGGTGCTGAGGGTGGGATTCTCGCTTCTTCATTTCAGGTTACTCGTTCTTCAGCAAGTTGGCAAAACAAGTTCCTCATGCTGGGGAGTGCCACGTGACTCCCCTGGCTGGAAATGCTTTTCTGAAAGCATGAGTGTTGTGCCTACTTAATTCTGATAAACCTGTTTGAGCAATACTTAGGAGGCTGACTTCTTTGGATTAAACAAAAATGTATGCAACTCCAACCCCTGGGGCCCTGCCTTTTTTTTTTTTTTAAACTTTGAGATTCGGGAAAGAAAGGAGTTTTAGGCAGAACCGTGTGATTGACAAACAGCAGAAGATCAGGGCCTCCCAAGTTGGAGATCCTGCAGGGTTCGGAGAGGCTGCCCCAGCTGGGCTGACGTCAGAGTCCCAGGCTGGCCCTCTGCCCCGGTCCTCAAGCCAGGGACAGCATTTGGGGTGTGGTGGGAAAAGCCTGAAGGCCAAGCTGGAAACAGGGCCTGAATACCGTGGAAGTGGGAGTGGGTATCCCCTGTGCCAGGCACATGGTAGACCTTCATTAAAGATAGCAGGGAAGGGCTTGGCATGGTGGCTCACACCTATAATTCCAGCACTTTGGGAGGCCGAAGTAGGCAGATCACTTGAGGTCAAGAGTTTGAGACCAGCCTGGCCAATATGGCGAAAACCCATCTCTACTAAAAATACAAAAAATTAGCCAGGTGTGGTGGCACACACCTGTACTCCCAGCTACTCAGGAGGCTGAGGCAGGAGAATTGCTTGAACCGGGGAGGCAGAGATTGCAATAATCCGAGATCACACCACTGTACTCTAGCCTGGGCAACAGAGCAAGACTCTGTCTCACAAAAAAAAAAAAAGGAAGGACTAAATGAATGAGTGGAATTGGGTCAGCTTGCAGTTCGGTGGAATACTGGCAGTAATTCTCTCGAGTTTGCAGAGTACTTGATTTTCAAAGCACCTTCACATACACACCACGTGAAGCAGGTTACAAATGATTAGTCCCATTCTACAGGTGAGGAGACTGAGGTGTGGGGGAGTACAGGCACCCTGGAACTCTGGGGGAAGACAATTATAGCACCACTTGCCGTCATGTGATTCTAAATGAAGAAGCGAGCCGGGCATGGTGGCTCACCCTTGTAATCCCACACTCTGGGAGGCCAAGGCGGGTGGGACACCTGAGGTCGGGAGTTCAAGACCAGCCTGGCTAACATGGTGAAACCCCGTTTCTACTAAAAGTACAAAATTAGCTGAGCGTGGTGGCAGGGGCCGGTAATCCCAGCTGCTCAGGAGGCTGAGGCAGGAGAGTAGCTTGAACACGGGAGGCAGAGGTTGCGGTGAGCGGAAGTTGCGCCATTGCACTCCAGCTTGTGTGACAGAGCGAGACTCCATCTCAAAAAATAAAGAAAAGGGAAAAGCTACAAAATCTGAAAAGAAGACATTTGAGAGGCCCAAGGAAAAAGTGAGCGTGAAGAGGGAGGCGTGCATGGAGAGAGAGGCCTAAGAGGAAAAGTGAGCCTTTGGAAGGTACGCAAACTTAAAAGCCACTGGACATGGATTTCACCATCATGCCTGATTCCTCTGAGCAGTGCTTCACCACCTGAAATACGGGGCTCAGGGGGCACTTCCAGCACACCGTGCCTGTGCCTTCAGAGAGGTCCTCCTAAGAAGTCAGAAGTCCATTTCTTTATAGGAGTGTGACTCTAAGTATCACTTAGATCTGTGACATGGGACAGTAATTTATTCATATCTTATGATGACTTTCTGTTAACTACAAAAAGGTGCCTCTCTGGGTTAAAAGGCTCCACACCAGGACTCCCAGCTTGGCAAGCAGAACCCAGACTGTTTTGCAGCCCCCATGTTCCCCCTCGTCCAGGTGCCTTTGTGCAGTGTCCAGACTGGCCAACCTCACCTGGCAGCCCTGTCCAAAGAGATTTTCTAATTTGCTAAAATATAAGACTCACCAGGGCAGGAACATCTTATTCACGACTGCACTCAGTACATATTTGTAGAATTAATAAAGCAAAGTTAGGTAAGGAGTATTTGTTCATTCTATGTGTACTGAGCACCTATTATACACAGGTGCCTTGCTGGGTGCAGAGGGCACAGCAGTGTACAAAGCAAGCTGTTTCTCACCCTCCTGGAGCTAATGTCCCAGGACAAGAGCAGACGATACCTAAATAAGTGAAACAGATAAACTAGTGATGGGTCAGAGTGGGGTAAGTCCTGGAGGGTGAGAAGTCGGCCATACAGAGACCTGGGAGGAACATTCCAGACAGAGGCAAGAACGAAACACAGATGTGTGTAATAATGACAGCCAACATGTTATTGAGCTCCAGTTCTCAACGTTTTAGCTCACCATACCTTCACATAATCCTATAAAGAAGGTACCGTGATTATGCCCATTTTACAAATGAGGAGACTGAGGCACAGAGAACCAGCTTGCAAATGTGAGTGGTAAGCTGAGCGTTGAGCCCAGGCAACCTCGTTCTAGAGTCTCTGCCGCTTGCCCCTAGATTGTCATCCGTCTCGAGCAGGAGTTTAGCACGGTGCCTGGCACGCAGTCATCACAATTGCTAATGCTTACTGAGTGTTTCCAATTTCCCTTGTACTGTGGTAAGTGCTATCAGCTCATTAGATAAACAGTAGCAGCTGGGCGCGGAGGCTCACACCTGTAATCCCAACATTTTGGGAGGCCAAGATGGGCGGATCACCTGAGGGCAGGAGTTTGAGACCAGCCTGGCCAACATGGCAAAACTCCATCTCTACTAATAATACAAAAATTAGCCAGGCGTGGTGGTGCCCACCTGTAATCCCAGCTACTTGGGCGGCCGAGATGTGAGAATCACTTGAACCCAGGAGGCAGAGGTTGCAGTGAGCTGAGATCATGCCACTGCACTCCAGCCTGGGCAACAAGAGTGAAACTCCATCGCAATAAAATAAAATAATAAACAGTAGCCATCACACACGAATTATTGCTATGAATAAGTGCAGACTCCACCTCATTGCATCATCTCCACACAGCCCAAAGGGAGTGGGTCAGACCAAAAACCTGGGACATGGCACAGCTGACAATGAGAGCGCACCTCAGTGCTCACTCCTGTGGCTGCATACACAGGAAGCCCATGGCCTCTGTAGAGTCTACAAGTGCAGGGATTCCCCTGGGGGGTGACACCTGAGCTATTTACAACCTGGACCTGGGTGACAGCACCTGATACCCTTTGTAGCCTGGTCCAGGCTGGAGGTGCTTACCTCTCTACAAAAATTGTCAACCACGTAGCCGGGTCTGGATCCCTCAGACCCTCTGGACACCCAACTCTCGCTGGGTGGGGAGAGCAGCAGAGCTTGGGAACCAGGCTGATCCTGTGGGCACTGGGGCTGGTGAGCTGCAGCTGAACAGGCACGAGGAGTAAGCCACTGCCACGAGGAGTAAGCCAAGCTATCTTGAATTAGCGTCTGAGCAGGTGATGCCGGAATGAAAAGCAACAGTCATCCTGGCAGCTCGCTGGGCAGAAAGTGGAGCTGTGAAGTCCCTTTGAGGCTCACTGCAGCCCGAGGTGGGACTCCATCTCCAAAAACCAGCCCACTCCCAGGACAGAGCTGTGTGTCAGGGGCAGACGCAAACAATTCCCCTTGACACAATTCTTGGTGCTTCAACCTTTCTGATCCCCAAACAATGAATTTTAGGAAGCCACAAAGAAAATCCTTTCAGAAAAGATGACTTGAGCCAAGGTGGGCTCTGGTGTGTGTGTGTGTGTGTGTGTGTGTGTGTGCACGTGTGCACATGTGCATGAAAGGAGCATGGGTATTAGAGTAGCAGCCCTTGTCACACTGGCCAAAAAAATATGGCAGAACGGGGCTGGCTGCTGTGGCTCACACCTGTAATCCTAGCACTTTGGGAGGCTGAGGCAGGAGAATCACTTGAGGCCAGGAATTTAAGACCTGCCTGGGCAACATAGCAAGACCCTGGCTCTACAAAAATAAAAATAAAAATTAACTGGGCTTAGTGGCTCACACCTGTAGTCCCAGCTGTTCGGGAGGCTGATACAGAGTTGTGAGGATCACATGAGTCCAAGAAGTTGAGGCTGCAGTGAGCCGTGATTGTACCACTGCATTCCAGACTGGGTGATAGAGCGAGATCATGTCTCTGAAAAGAAAAGAAAAAAAGAATCTCTATGTCCAGTAATGCTGTGTGACTCCTAAGGCTAGGTTATGAAAAGTGGTCTCTCGCTACCTCCTCCTCTCTCTTTTTCTTTCTCTTTTTGGGACATCCTCCAACCTAGCTACCATGCTGTGAGGAAGCCCAGCTAGCCCACATGGAGGGGTCCCAGCCAACTGTTCCTTAGTGGAACTGAGGCCCCCCCAGCCAACAGCCAGCATTGCCTGCCAGACGTACATGGGAACGAATCTTCAGGTGACCCCAGCCCAGCCCTCAAGCTGCCCCAGCTGACACAGAGTAGGACAGAAGGTGCTGTCCCCACTGAGTCCTGCTCAAATGACAAGATGTGTGAGCAGAATAAACGTGTGTTGTTTTAAGCCACTATGTTTTGGAATGGCTTGTTATGTATCAGATAACCAGAGCGGTGGGTACCCCAAAATGGTAACAAGGTAGGAACTCAAACCCTGGACCTGCCTGTGACATTAAAGAGACATTTATAATGTAGTGAAAAAAGACGCAGGAAATGAAGCTGTGCTTCCAATCTGTTCTCCTCTCACCGCCCTTATTAGTGTCCCATTAGCTGTTTCCCTGCTAAGGACCAGTGCATCTGGCCAGGCCTAGCTTTGGCCTTGGCCAAAAAAGTCAGTGCATAGAGTCCGGCAGAGCCACAGAAGCTGCCACAGAAGCCTAGCCTGTTGCAATCTGGGGAATTAGCATGCTGGGGGTTGCCCATCAGTGTCTTCTGAGCACCCAGTATGCCCTGTCACGGTGTCTGGATCAGACAGCAGCGTGGAGAAGTACTTTCTCTATGGCCGGATGTGGTGGCTCATGCCTGTAATCCCACCACTTTGTGAGGCTGCAGTGGGCAGATCACCTGAGGCCAAGAGTTCGAGACCAGCCTGGCCAACATGACGAAACCCTGTCTCTACTAAAAATACCAAAAATTATCCTGGCATGGTGGTGGGTGCCTGTAATCTCAGCTACTCCGAAGGTTGAGGCAGGAGAATTGCTTGAACCCAGGAGGTGGGGGTTGCAGTGAGCCCAGATTGCTCCACTGCACTCCAGCCTGGG